AAGTATTTTCCCACTGCTACTTCATTTAGCTAATAGTTTGCCACAAGAGCATCAGGGAAAACCTTTGTAATGGGGTTAAATTATTTCCCATGAATGGAGCTCCTGTTAATAAGCATGCTGCTGATTTGTAGATGTTCTGAAGAAATGTATGCTTTACTTTCCATCTTCTTGTGTTCAAATGGCTTAAATGTGGTTTCCTGGATCCAGTTTTGGACAGCAGTGACTAGACTATCTTTCTTCCACTGGACAAGAAGCCTTTTTGAAGCGTTTTCTTTGTTTTGTTTGTGTGTTTAATAGCATTCTGCTTGACTGCTGAACCTCATTGGACTAAAGTTTGTGTTTATATAGTGAGTTACTAGGTGTTCAATAGTCTAGTATCCCAACACCACTGTTCTTATAGTTGTTAATTACAGTTACCAGCAAACTGCCTGTGGAATATATTTATAACTTTTATTTTCTTAAGGCAGAGTATGTTTGGAAAAAGCAGAGGGGTATGTTTAAAGTACATAAAATTTATCTAGGAGCAGAATCAGTTTGCATTAAAAAAAATGGTATTTAAAATGTGCAGTTTCTAGACTGTATTTCAAATTCAGACATAATTCAGGGATAAGATGGCAGCTGTGAATGCAATTTTCAAAATATTTATTTTCTAGGTATCTTGCTATGAAAAAGAAATAATGAAATTAAGGCTGGAACTTGAGAGAGGAGAGGCTCTTCGCCGAGGTCTGGAGAGTGAAATGTCATTTGCTAGAAAAGAGGCTCATTTACAGATGTATTCTGCAGAGGACGAGCTATGTGATGTAAAAGCCAAACTTTTGGAACTGCAAGGTAAATTTAAAAAAAAAATAAGCTATGGACCAGAGGCTACATCAGCCCCAAGTAATTATAACAAGCAGAGATTGGACAAAATTTTCTGGTTACTTATATATAAGTATATATTGTATTATATTACATAGCTATTTATATATATACACACGTATATACATATATGCATACATACATATATATATACTTATAAGATTTCTCTTGTTTTTCCATGTCTTACTCATTTGCTTTTGTAAGCTCAAAACCCTTTCTGATATGAATTAGTATGAATATGAATTAAATATAACCTGCTAAATCTCTTGATCCCTTTTTTTCTCTCACTCCTTACCTTCTGTTATTCTTTCCCTCATTGTGTGCAGAATTGTAATTAAGGTGTCTCTCTCCACATCCTGCTTATCACTATGTCCAGCAGTTCTTCTTTTTACATTTCAGTGGGAAAAATAAAAAAATCTAGTCCTGTTTATTTGTTTACATTCTTTACAAAAAAACATTTTTTTTTTTTTTCTTTTCTCCAGGAGTTCTTGTTGTACTGCTTTTTTCTTTCATCTTTTCAAATATTTCTAGTTTTTCATTGCTCATATCTGGCCTCTTCATGTCATCTTTACTTTTTATAAAAGTAACGTCTTATGACAGCAGTATGTGGAAAGGAAGGGTTTTACCTAGACATTTTTTTCCCCTACTAGTTTTACATTCAGAGACTCAAATATTCTTAATCCTTCTCAATCAGAGAGGATTTCTCATACTTAAAAGCTGAGGAGATTATTTTTTTGTTACCTAAGTAAATATAATACTCTTTAAATGTAATACAGGAGATGTATTAGTGAGCCTTTGGTGTTCACTGAAAAGACTGGAGCACTCCTGGAGTTTGTAACCTTACAAGGATGAAAGGAGACTCTGAAACTTGCAGGTGCACTTATATGCCAGATTGTTTTTTAAAAATAATAAGAAATCTGCCCTTTCATTTGGAGAACACACAAATTATAGAAATCTTATGGCTGGTTTAAATTTCTTAAACTGGTTTTTCTTTGATTGATTGAGTTATTTTGTTTGTTTGGGATTTTTCATTTTTTTTCTTCGTTTGGTTTGGTTTTTGTTTTTTGGGATTTTTTTCTGTTTTTGTTTTTATTGTGACAAATGTCAAAGAAGCCAAATAGTCCAGGTGTTGTTGCTTCTCATTTCTTTTTCAGTTTTTAACTCACTGCTTCTTTTTCTTGATCTCTTGGAGTCTTGCTCACCTCATGTGATGCTTTTGATACATCCCAACTTATATCCTTGGACAGGGGTACCTCACTTGTGCCCTGTGTTCTCCAAACTGTTTTTCTGCTGTTCTTCTTGAGGCTTGACTTCCTGACATCTGACAGGTCTTCCCCGTCATCGTGTCCACTGATTTACTCTGTTTTCCCAACATGGCTCTTCTGGTTGTTTAACCCTTCTCCAGCTAGGAAGAAATTTCAGAAGACTGGGATGAATTTGAAGTAAAAATCTATTAGAAAGTGGTGATCACATAAATGCCACAATAGCTAGTTGTACTCAGTAACATAAAAAGCTAATACAAAATATTTTGACCCAAAAGCCAGTTTGTGAAAGGAAACAAAGTTTCTAGTAAAACTGCAAGAGCCCAGTTCCTGGGCTGAAGATTTATATCTCTTGAGCAGCAGTAAATTTCCCCAGAAAAGCTAAGCCTTTTCTCAGTAGTCCAACCTGCCTTACATTGTCCTAGAGTCTTTTTCATGCAGCAGGTGTCTTTATTGGTACTTAAACTGAGCTTGAAATAAATTGGAACAAACTAAAGTATCACATAGATATTTGGAAATAAGCTAGCCAATTGTTGCAGAACAATGCAATTAACTTCCCATGCTGTAGAGGCCTCACTTGAAAGAGTTTAATTTTTATTCCTTTCCAAAAGGAGAAGGGCTTCAGTTGATAAAAATCTCCAAATCATTTCTATGTCCTTGTGTGAAACATGCTACAGAAACACAAAATGTGATTGTTTGTCTGTAGTGAAACTGGAAGTGTTAATGTTCAAGTGTTTCACAGGATATCGACATAACAATACACAGAAAAATTTATGTTAATTATACCTTCTTTTCTGAATATGCTAATTTGCAGCACTATTTATCTTTTACTCTTTCACTTTTTTTTTTTTTTTTGTAAACAACAGTACTCAATGACAAACATCAGCAGAAAGCAGCAGAGACTGAGAAAATGTTCAAAGTGTTCAGTGGCAGTGGGAAGAGGAACAACAAAGATTTGCAGTGGAGAGGGATAACATCCGCAGAGTATACCTTGCTGAGATGGAATTCCTTATTAAAGAAAAAATGAAAACAGAAAGGGCTTGTCAGGTATGATAGATGGAAAGTTCCATGAGATGTTGGCTCAAAGTTTTTTGGTGCAAAGTGTATGGTGGGTTGGGGTTTTCTGGTTTAAGGGAAAAAAATTCCCCAAATAGATAAATACTGCAGAATAGTTCTGAAGATTACAGCTTTATGAAATTACAGCTGGTGTGTAATGATGGTTTGGGACTTTAATGGAATGTGTTAATATGACTTTGAATGTGTTGCAGTCTTTTCTATTGTATATTTACATGCCTGGTTTAAATCTCCTTTAGTTATTCAGAGTTATAAAATGAAAGCTAAGGATATTTAATTGTGGTTTTAATACGTGCAGAGAAGTGGGATTCTGAGCACGTAGGCAAGTCCTGGCTGGAAAAACTGCCTAATTGCAAACTTGGCTGTGAAAGTGCTGAGGTAGGCATGGGAGTGGAGTCAGTATTGAAATGTGTCTCTGGGGCACACTGGAAAAGCCAGGGCACACCGGAAAAGCCACCCTCTCTGCTTTGTGACAGGTTCATGGTGAGCTCTGTTGGGCATATCCTGGTCCAGGATAGGAGGTGTTGGAGTTTGATGAGGAAGGGCAATAGCATCACCTCCTGGTTAGGCAGGAAATATATCCCTCCATGTTTTTTTCATTAGAGCACTTGAGAGATTGTGTCATTTTCACACGGTTTAAAAAACAAACAAACAAACAAAAAAAAAAACCCGCCTAGCTGTGTGCAAATATTTGCAGGTGGCTATGGGGATAGTATTAAACAGTCATGCCACCCTGAAAAGTTCAGAAATTCTTCAAAACTCTGAAAACCTGCAGCTCATGCTGACTTGTTTAACAACCTTGATATAGCTGTGAAAATTTTAGTTTATTAATGTTAATTACATTTCCACTGTAAAATGTTTTTAATTTTTTGCAGTATTTCACAGTAAAATACCTGTTACTTATTTCACATTTCCCAGTTTACTTTTGTTAATACCTGGAAGATAAACCTGAACAAATATATATTTCTGTATCTTTTCAGGTGTATATTTCTGTAGAAATGGTTAATTTTCATTTGTTTATTTATTTATTTATTTAGCATTCCAAAGGGAAGAAATCTGTTTTGCTGGACATGCAAAGCTAGAGGATTAGCTTACATTTAATACAAATACATATGGAGTATGGGCATTTTCTAACATTGACTTCACAGAGCTGCAGAGCCCAGTAATGTCAATAATTCGCCTAACCTGTAGCTTAGTTCAGTTTCTGTAGGCATAAATTGAAGTGGGGACCAGCTTGTTTTATTCTACTGAGGACTTTGTATTTCAGAAGTTTTTAAAGTAATTCAGTTTCTAGATAGAAGAAAATCCTTTTCAGAATAGCAGACATTAAAATTATTTCGTCTGTAGGAGTAACTGTTTCTAAAAAGATCTGATTTGAAGTTTTAGCAATTTCATTCAGAACAAAAATGAACTTTTGTCCCCATGCATCATTTCACCAAATTTACCCTGTTTCTGTCATTGCCACTGAGCTGGGAGACAGAAGAGATCGGAAGGGCCATACTCTTTTAGGGAAAGATTTCCTATGGAGATCTGGCTCTGATTTTAGTGTTGCCACAGAAGGTCACGTTCACAGTGATTTTTGGGACAACACAGATTTCTTGGTGGTGAATTAAAAGCATGTCTGCTGTTGGGTAAACACTTTGCTGACATGTGCTGGTGTCTTAGATTTTAAAATTCTAAAACCTTCCTCTGATGCAGTCTCCACTACTCTGTTGAACTCTCTACTGTTTTAGTAAAGATAATACTTTATCTTAGAAAAAGTACCTCTTGATGTATTTATTTATTCATTTACCTATTTATCTTCAGGAAACGAATGCTGTCCTGAAAAACATGCTCAGGAAGTTGAGGGATATAGAGGTAGAACACCATGGCTGCAGCGAGATGCTGAGGCTCCAGGCCAACCATCTGGATTTCAAGGAAAAACGTCAGGAGAGGCTCATCAGGGAACTGGAGGTAAAGCTTTCCCTGATGCTAGAAGTCTCAGCAAGCATGGGCACAACTAATCAGTTTCATTTCTGATGGGTGGAACCTCTGAGTTGGGCTATGAGTGCCTTGTATTTGATTAACAAAAATGTGGAGCATCTGTTTCATAGGAAAGGTAAAAGCTGGTGTTCGAGCAGCAGATGGGAAGAGGTTTATGTCACTGGGAAAATGCTCTTAGCAATATAGAGGTATAGAGGGAGTATTTGTGCATGTTATTTTAATTTTTTAATTAAGCATGTTAAGCAGTTAAATCCTGTGGGAGGAGGCAAAGCTTATGCCTTTTGGCTGATGTTGTGGAGCAGACATGGTAAGCCCTGTGCTGTTGCTGACTTTCTCTTTAGTAGGCCTTCCACAGATCTCTGTTTCTCAATTATTTTCTTTTGTGAATGTGTGAGATTACACAGAGTTTAAATTTATTGCCAACAGCTCGTATTTTAAAATTTTTATATATTTTTTTGTTAATGTTTCCTTACTGAAGTGCTCAGAGTCAGGATGCAGTCTCACATACTTTCTACTTTGCTTTAGCTGTGCAAAATCAATGACTTCACTTGTATCTATGTAACCTTAAGTGTCTTAAATGACTTTTAATATTAATGTTTTTTTCTTGATCTTTGTTGCATCACTTGAAGGCAGGAGTCATCTTGGGGTGTATTGTCTTTTTCAAAACAGTCATCAATCTAAGTGAAAAGATTTTTTTAATAGAAAACAGTGTAGTTAAAATTGCATGTAGATTTCTATTACAGCAGCTCTGTAGTTACTGCTTTTGCTGAAAGCAGTTTTTCAATTTAAATTCTATGTCCAGGTCATTATATGGAGATAGGTATCTGTGATTATTAAAAATGCAGCAAGAACATAATCCTACATCAATTTTTTTAGCTAAACAGAAAATACTGTTGTAATATTCTGGATATGTATTTTTTTTCTTTTATTTATTTATTGATATGAGTTTTCACAGTTCCAAAGTGCAAGTAGTTCAGATACCACAGGTTGGTTTATGGAGACCTGATAAACTGAACAAATGAAGTTGTCTTTGCATGATGTTATCATCTTTCTGGACTTAAATATTTTCAAAATGTGCTTTTAGGCAGCTACAGTGAAAACAAAGAAACTGGAGGAAAACGCTGAAGCAGCGAGACTAGCACATATGGAATGTAAATACACGACAGAAATCATGCAGGTAAACTTTTTATTAAATATTTGGTAGAAGTTTACAGTAGCACAGAAGATGAACTGTAAAAGTACTATCTTCCAAAAATGTTAAGACTTCCTTACTTCAATGAAAACACTGAGTAGATTTTTTGCAATGAGTGTCAAAGTTGTAAAAGATAATAGAAAAATGTCTCCTTTTTTTCAGGCAACTATCAAGTTAATAGAATAAATACTAAAATAAAATGTCACATTCTTATGTTTGAGAATTCAAAGTAGCATTAAAGCAGTAAGGGGAAAGGAAATGTTTCACAACTGTTAAAATATCAAGTCCTATATCTTTGGAATGGGCTTAGATATTTTTGGAGATACAGTGCATACATCCAGCTTCTCTAGGTGTGAGATATTAATGCATCCTGAGACTGCAGTTCCAAATGTAATTATTCAGAGTACCTTTCAGTTTCAAAGCTACTATGTCTGTAGTTTCCAGAGAAGTTTGAATTTACAAAAAAATGTAATATATATACTTGAATATTAAATTCTTGTGTTATTAAACTGTATCACACAGGGTTTGAGCCATATCACACAGGGTTTGAACCATTCAATAAATTAGTTTATTTTAAAAAACAAGTGTGAAAATCCTGTAAGATGATTGCTGAGTAATCTCGTACTGACCGACAAAGCCTTCACACTGGATTTTTGAAAAACTAAATGAGAAAACAAACAGGAATTTCATCTCTTTTTTTCTTGTTTTCTGAGGAATACAAAAAACCTGCCACTTTTTCAGTCAGTTATTTTCTTATGACCTTCTCTAAGTGCAGGTACTTAGATTTCTTGAAGTGATGATTAAGTAAGTAGGGATGACTTAGTTTTCTTGATTCACTCTCTGCTTTCATAACATACAAAGGAATTGGAAGGCTAACATTACCTGAAGGTAGAGATTTTTCTTTTATGGTTAAGAGCTGGTAAGGTTTTCTTAATTTTTTATGATGAACAAGCTCCACGTGAGCTTTTTTTTGAGTGTAAGTGTAGCTTTTACTGTTAATCCCACCCTTTCATGAGTCTGCTTAAAAAGATAGGATTCCCTGGAAAACTTCAGTAATATAAATAATTGAAAACAGGAAAATCCAAACACCATGAAAGGACAACAAAATGTGCTTTTGGTCAATATATCTATTTCTCTCTGTTTTGAACTCTATGAAGTAATACATTTTTACATATGTTCAGTGCTTTCTAATTCCATATAGAATTAATAGAGTATATTCACCTGTAAAAAGCAGAACAGAACAATGAACAGCATTAAAGACCATGGTAGTCTTTTCTAACTTCCTTTAACTGCTTTCTTATCACTTGGTAGTTAAGAATTCGAGAACTTGAAGATGCTTTGAATGAAGAGCAAGGCGGCAGGAGAGAAGCTTTTTCAGTGGTAGCACAGAAAGATTTCAGAGAGTCAGAAAATGCGCATGAGAGAGGAAAAAAAGAGTAAGTTTCCTTCTAAAGCCATCATAAAATGGCAGTAAACAGCTTGAGTACAACTCGTAGTTTACATTCCCTGCAATTTTCAGTCAGCAGAAAATCTAGTGCAATCTGCCAAACCAAGCCAAAGGGTCAGAACCTGGCAGTCCATTAATAACAGGCCCATATCAGTAATCAAAGTATTGTGAATGGGTACAGATGATAACTGGCCTGTTACAGATTATTTGCCAAACCAAAAATTTTGAAAATCATAGTTATGATAGAGTCCAGCCTCCAGCAGTGATTGGGGTGAGCTTAGGGAAACACATCCAGCAGGTCTAGAAAAGATGGCTTTTCTAAATACACTTGTATTATTATGCAAACATTGTTTTCCACTTCAGCGAGCCAGTTGAATCTCTAAGACTCAGAGGAAATCACCTGGGATATGTTTCCTGCCCAGCACAGTCTGCTCTGTGTGTGGTAACAGAACTTGGGTGACCTCTCTTTCAGCCTAGAACTGTATGGGTCTGTATACACAGGTGTTCATGTTGAGTTACACGATGAGTAGTGGAGAATGAAAGAAACTGGTTTTCCTACAAGAAGGGAAGTTTGCGGCCTGAGCAACTCATTCAAGATTCATGGTTATGGAGATGTTTTTAGTAAGATACATTAAACTTGAGCTTTAAAAGCCTTTGTCATCTTATGCAAATATCAATTTTAAGCAAGCGTTTGGCTTACCTGACACCATGCCTAAATACTCAGGCAATCTTTTTAAATTCTTGGATTCCTGTCTCTGCTTCTCTCTCCTTTATGCTGTTGTCTGGCCTTGTAGTTTTCTCATCAGCTGCCTGTTTAGTCATGCCAGGCTCTTGATATATCTGTTTTCCTGACTGACACAGTACAAGAACAGATTAAAATTCTGGGTAGTCTGCTTTAGAAATCAAACCAGAGCATGTGGAAACCTTAGGAGCAAGAACTGTACATGAAATCAGGGTTGATGATGCAAGATGTGACATGGTCTCTCTGAAGAGAGCTATTGTCTTAATTAAACTATGAAGAATTCTGTTTGTTCTATAAAATTTCAAGGCCATATCCAAATAATCAATTTAATTTCATGACATGAGGCTTGGTAACTGAAAACATAACCACTTGAAAAGTCTTTCTTAGAAGGAATAGAAATTTCTTCATTCACCTAAAAAAGGCAAGCAACTTCAGAAGCCATGTGATATGCTAATGTAGTATCTGCCATATTCATTGATTATCCTTTAAAAGAATGTAGTGCATTTGACAAAAGTAATTTTGGTTAAAGTATCTTATTGTGCAAACATTCCAGTTTACGAAGACAGCCTTCATCCTTAAATGTGCAATGGAGAGAGGGGGCTAAGGACAGGAACGAAACTGAAGAACCCTCTGGGAGATTAGTGAATGCTGCAACCAGCTTCAGCCTGCATGAAGGCCCAGTGGTAAGGGAAAAAAAACAGTTTTTTTTAAACATACTGTCAAAATATTTACTGTGCTGAGGATTTGCTGCATTTTTCCATGATGAGCTGTGGAAGAGCTCTGCCATTCTCTTATCCTGTTTGTTATTATGTTATCGTTTTAAAAATTTAGTACATGAATAAATGTAATCAATGCCTTGGAGAAGCTAATTTGAAAATGTTTTTTAAGTGATATGCATCTATTTAATTCAAGAGTTGTTTTCAGCAAACTGTTATTTTAAAAGTATGGATAGGGTGTATTTGCGTTCCTAATTAAGAAGGCATTTTGTAGATATGGAATATGATTTAATGTGAAGAATATTCTGTCTTTCCACCCAAACTTTTTTGTCAGGTTTCATTAGCTACCATTGTAGAAATGTTTATTTCTATTTCATACACCCTTTTGGTTTTAGTGCAAATATTTGGCTATAAAATTTGCTTGAAAGTTGTTGGTTTGAAGGTAGCACATCAGAGGGGATTTTTTATTGTTGTTTTGTTTGTTTGCTTTTGCTGTGGATTTGGCACATTGGATGTATTTCACTGGATTGTTTTCTGAAATCTTTCTCCTCTTATATTAACACTTTGGGCCTTTCTACTTTACCAAAGTACACTTTGAAAAAAATTTTGTCTTTTTTTTTTTTTCTTTGCATAGCAGCAGCAACAACAGAAAGATCTTAGTATATCTAGAAATTCTCTCCCATCATTGTGTGCTAACATTTGCTACATTTCTACTCTCAGTAATATAAACATTTTTTTGGTAGTGGCTTGGAAACTTCTCTTTTTCTGTCAAAGCTCTGAGCATGGAAGGTAAATGTGGTCTGTTCCCTATTGATAGGAGCAAAGACCTGCATCAGAGGGTCTTCAGATTTGTCTTTTCTTCAGTTGATGGAGTTATGCCACACTTTGTCTTAGTGTTATCCACTGCCCAGGCAGACCTGTAATTAATAAACAGAATGAAAATAAAATAAGAATCTTCCTTTTTCTTTCTGGGAGAATAACAACTTCTTCCATACAAGCATTAATATATTAAAAGACATTTTAATACATTTACAGTTAGCCTGAAAAAGTAATTTCATCAGTCACAAAAGGAAGAGAAAAGCAGAGAGACAAAAGCAACTGTCTTCCCTAACTACAGACAGTAATGATTGCTATTTATAACTACAAAACAAAATTACAAGCTGAAAACATTCTACTAGAAACCTTAAGTGCTTGGTAGCTGTTGTTGTGTTTTGTAAGAGTTATCCTTTTTATTTTTATTCCTTCATAAAATGCATGTTACACATGACAAGAATTCAGGACAAAATTCTGTTCATGATCACAATTTCTGGTAATGGAAACAGTATTTAATTAACAGTATTTAACAGTGAATTAGTGTTATGCTACTGAAAGGCAAAAAAAAAAAAAAAAGATTGTCTCACTGTCATGTTCATAGAGCTGGTTGTTTTAATTGTTTTACTCAAAGGATTTCAAACCACAGGACTGTCCTGAGCAGGTAATAAAAACATTTTATTTATATATATTTATTTCTATTTTATTTATATATTTATTATTTGGAAGAGTTGTAGTAGTGGATCCCTTATAAGATTAGATATTTATTGCCTTGGATGGCTTTGTATTTTTCTGAAAGGTATTTGTATTCATTTGGGAAGCAGAAGTGCCTGTATGGGATCCTGTTTACTCCATTGAAACAGCTTTGATTTTGCTTCCCAAAATGAAAAAGCGGAAGACTGTAGCAGAAACTAAGTATAGAAAGCATTTAATATATTGCTGTTGGTCTTTCCTATACCCATGATAAAATTGTGTGAAAATGTCAGGGTGTTCCCTTAATTTTCCCTTCCTACTTTCCTGACCTATACAGTATTTTTTCATATTTTATACCACTTTTATGCCCCCTGAATGCATTCTTTCTACTCCAGTCTGATAATCTTATATTGATTTCTAACTGTACTGATACAGTGGTTTACATCCTTTGTCTTCATGGCATTTGAGATACAGCTTTCTATTATCTTAATCAAAGTTTCTAAGTTGCTTGTATGTACTAAAAGTATGAGGAATTGTATTTCTACTGCATGCTGTTGTTGCTAAAATTTATTTATAACCTGAATCAATTTATTACATTACTGATTAAATTCACTGTAAATAAATGAGGTATGGCTTGGGGAATTTGACAGCTGGAGCTGTAGGCCTATTTTGGCCAGCTATTTATTTAATCATATATAATCCATGCAAAGCAAATTTTCAGAATAATTTAGAGCTGGTTGTGCTGCCAAGCCAACTGGACAATTTTCTGGGTGCTGTGCAGGTGTTGAGGCACAGTTTGAATGCACCTGAAAGTATTAACATGGCTGAATGAATTGCATCCATTAAGAGCATGGAAATTTTTATCTGTGCCAAGTTATGGTTGTGGCCCTGGCAGGACTGGGATTTATTCACATACTTTATTTACATACTGTATCTATTTAGATAAATTTTATGACGTGTTTTCTTACTCTGATGCTATATTATGCAATATTAGGACTGCAAGTATTAGGAATGAATGAGGAATTTTGTAAAGCTGTGAGAATGAACTTTGCAGGCTTGTTTTCAGCTGCATCCAGCACTGCTACTACACATATAATGCATCTCTTTTGATTTTAACATTGCCCAGATGCAGCAATTAATTTTTCTTTGTGTTCCAGAGCAAGCCGCCCATCCTCCTAAACTTATACCAGAGAATGGCAGATAGCCATGTGCTTGCCAAACAGCCAAATGTTCCCCTGGAAGGATTACCTTGGATGGAGTTTTGTGTACTCTTGTATGAGAATGTTGAAGCCCTGATCTTGAATTTCCACAAGGCAAATGAGAGGGTGAGTGTCCCGAGTCACCAGCTGCCTCTTCTGAGTTCAGTGACATTTGTTCATACTGCAGTCTCATTAAAAAGGACTGATATTCATCCTCCACAAGGATTTGAACATTAACAAATGAATACCATTAACTGTGACTTGTCCACTGCTCAGTTTGATGCAGTTGCCGTGGGCATTTAGATGTGACTGGAGTGTGCCTCAAGTCTCTCAGCTCCACTTTCTCTGCACAGCATTCTGAAAGGACTAGCCACAGGGAGCTAATTAAAAGATAATAAATCCATCTTACTGATGAAGAAATTCACAGAATGTAGTCATTTACCATCATAAAGCAAGTCTTTATTTTACCACAGTCCAGAGGCAAAATACACTTTTACCAGGAATGCCATCTTTAAATTACGTGTTTGTTTGAAAGAATCTCAGTGTGTGATTTTTTTGTTTAATTGTAACTTTTGGATTATGGCATTTTTATTCAGAAACACAATAGAAATACCTATTATAAAATATGTCAGTATTTGTGTGAAGGAAGAGTTGTACTTTTCTGAGTGATTTTAATGCAAGTGAGCTTACATGGCCTTTCTCTCCAGAAATCCTTGTGGCTTTAGGAAGGGAAAAATCCCTTTTTAAAGAAGTCAGCTGGCTCCAGAGACTAAGCTATGTCAATCTTTAGAGTTTCACTTTGTGTTCTGGTTTATTTCTTTTAAAGTAGGAGGAAAGGGAAGGGGTTGAATATTGTTGTCAGTGTTTATGGGGCTTCTGTCTTGTTGTTGCTTGCTTTTTAATTAAGTATTGTTATTGAGACTGATTGTGAGGTCTCTAGGGCTCTTCTCAAGTACTTAGCAGCTTTTCTGGGGTTTTAGATTTTTTGTGTTGTACAAAACTTTTTTTCTACAGATCTGTGTGATCTATAGGGAAGTATCTTGCTGATATTTTCTAGTAACAAAGTGCAGGTGTATGCATTTGGAGAGCATTGTTGCCTTGGTTCATTCCTCCATTTAGTTTAGGAGGTGCAGTGTTAAACCACAAGAGTAAATTCCTTCATGCTTGTTGAAAATACATCATAAACTTCTGAACTGCTTGTAAGGAAAACATTCTCTATGCTAGAATCCCCTGAAATGTTTTTAAAACTTAATAATAATAATCTGGAATGCCTTGGCTTTTCAACACACACACACACAAAAAAATTGAAGGCCCTTTTTAAATTATTGTTTGCAATAATTGTGTCATCACAAACTTCTAAAGGATATACTTGGATAATTTACTAATTTACTAAAATTTAATACAACTGTTTAAAAAAATGTATGAAGTGTCCAGCTGAGGTTTCCTACAAAGAAGGTGGCAAACATCTGCAAGGTGGTATAAGGATGGCAAAACCAAAACCAAATAAAGTACTTTGTTTCAAAATATATTTCAGTTTGGTTTTGAGAAACAAGTAATTGATCTGCCATGAAAGGGTTTTACTTAGTTTTAATAAAAATATTGAAGAAATAATAGTTTGGATTTTATGCTGGAATACTCTGTGCTTTAAAACTTAAAGTGTAAAGGTAAATAACACTTTCTTCTTAAATGCTTGTCACACAGATATCTCAGCTAGAATATATTTGCAAGCACAAGACTGACACTATGAATGACCTTCAGCAGAACCAGGAGGATGCTCTGGAGAAAATGTCTGAGCAGTTAAAAGCACAGGAGCATTGCTTACAGAAAGAAAAGCAGTATCTTGAACAGCAGTACTCAAATCTCCTTGCAGAAGTTCATGCAAGAGCACAGGTATGGTGCTGTGAACTTTTTTTTCTTTAAACATTTAACGGATTATTTCAGTAGTTTAAGCCTCTTTGCAGTTTAAGGTCATTTGGGAATTTTAGTATATTTTTAAAGTAAAATAAAAACACCAAGCAACAAATCAACCCATCATTGTGCTACTATTAACATCACTTATAATAAGAAATAAATGACTTTGTTGAAGCATTCTGAAGATAATTTGGTCTACAGCCCCAGTTCAAAAGCCTGATTTGGTCTACAGTTGGCAGTAATCTTTATTTTTTTTTTCTGAGAATAGTAAAGCTGTTAAGATCGAATTTGCTTGTTTTAAGAATTACAGAGAGAGGGCAGCAGCTACTTTTTCAGCATCACTAATTGCTAAGATTGTATAGAGTAACAATAATGTGGTGTCACCTGGGGATTAATTTAATTATATATGTACTGCTCCTAAGAACAGTGGTAGATTTCAAGTGTTAAGTGATTCTATTTTACTGATACTACAGTGAGAAGTGGCTTAAAAGTGTAAAATTTTCACTGCTTGTTAGATGAGTTATTTGCAATCCAAAATGTTCCCTGTTATTCCACAACCACTGTTTACTGTCTTTAACATCACATTCCTTCACATCTGTTTCAATTAAAGCATTGTAAATAAAGGAAATAGATGCCCCTTTTTATTGTGAGTTACTGCAACTTACTTCATCAGAATAATGCTGTATTTGGTGCAGATTTCAGGACTGAAAGTCTTTGCATGCTGAAAAATTTAATCTGTCTAGTTTCATGTTCCAGCCTTCCTTACCTCTTTCCTCTCACACTGGCTTCCTGCTTTGTAGATCAGTGTTCTCTCTGAAATTGGAGAATGTTATTACTGTTGTTAAGTCAACTCATAAAACTGTATTGTGGGCACAGGTGGTGTTGGACCTTCTGTGAGCTGTCAAGGTATTGATGGATTGTTGTCAGAAATCAGGAGTCCATTTGCAGTTGATGATCGTGCAGATTTCCCTCATACCATTGATTTGGCTTCATACATCTGATTCTGTAATTGTTTACTAGAAGAGATACTTTCATCAACATCATTACTAACAATTTTTGCTCCTTAAATGCATCATTTGAATGGCAAAATTAACAGTTTTCTTTTAGCTCTTGTCTCAATAAAAACCATCTAGTTAATATTTCTTCCATTTTTGTTTGGTTTGCTTCTGTCACAGGAATGTGAAGAAACATCACAGAAAAACAGGCAAAAACTGTATGGCCTTGAACAAATGTGCGAGAAACTGGCCCATGAAAACAATTCTGTGAGAAATACATTATCAAATGCTTACAAGGACCATTCATCTCTGCTGGCAGCCTGTGCACTGCTGTCAGGGGCCCTGTGTCCTCTCTATGGCAGACAGTGTGCTATGTCTTTCCAAAGAGACCTTCTCCAGGACCAGGTGAACCTCCGTGAATTAGTGAACCAGGAGATCAGGACCCTCCTTAATGCTCTCCCTACTAATGTGGAAAACAATCAAGATGAAGCAAGGCTGAGGCAGAGAAGAGCCAAACACCTGGTTTATGTGTTCCGAAGAGCTGTGATTGCAGTTCTGGCCTCTAACAGGCTTAGAGCTCTGGCCCAAAATTCTTGCTCCTTTTTTGTCTGGACAGATGGCTCAAGAGGAAGCCTTGGAATTCAAGTTTGTGTGGGAGAATCCAGAGGCAGGCATCATGGGGCACGTAAGTGGAATGTTCTTTAAGTGTTACATCAAACTACATGGTTAGGGAATAACAAAGAGCAATATTATTATTATTGTTGGGCATAAAGACACATTTAATGACATTTTGAAAAATATTATTTATGGATTTCTATTTTTTATGTTTCTTGGCAAATGTATTTCACTCTAAGAGGAAATGCCTAGTCTGTTAAGTGTTGCAAGAAAAATTGCAATTATACACATCAACTCAACATTGTCTGATATCCTTGATATTTGTGTTATGGATTTCAGAACCAGGTGCTATAGCATCTTCTCTGTGGTAATTATCTTGCAATGTTCCTAAATTATTAACTATCACCTTGTTTTTTGGGGATTTTTGAAAAGGTATTTCCTCTTCTTTTTTTAATAATTTTTAATATTTATTTCCTACTAAAACCCACAAAAAATGCTTCCTGATTCAGGTAAAATATTAGCATAGGATTTTGAAATTGTCTTTAGAGATTATGTCTACTTGTCCCCTTCTGTTGCCAGACCAGCTGATGCTTCCCCGTACGAGGATTAATGGTATCAAAAATGTTTTTCAAATTAGAAGATTCCTCTACATTTTTTTTCAGTAGCTCTGGGAGCATGATTAATATGGTCTAAATTGTCCTGATTAATTTGTGGTTTATATGGTTATTTTTGGTTAACTTCTGAAAGAGCTGGAGATAGCAGTGTGCCATATCCTAATGTTTCAGTTATCCTGCTAGCTGCAATTCTGTTTCACAGGTTTTAAAGAGGAAGGAGTTGACTGTATTGAAGCACTTGATTGGTTGACTAGCTCTAACCTCTTTGCTGCAATAATCAGTTCCCTCTCTGAACTGCATGACATTCTCAGCACACCAGGTAATTCTAAGAGTTTATTGTTGTAGCAGAAATTTATTAAAAAAATAAATAAGTCAGGGTGGTCACATCATTTCCAGTTTTAGGATTTTATCTAAATTATTCTGGATCAGAGTTCTGAAGAGATATTTCTGAATATTATGATAGATACCTTTGACTAGAGGTTATATCCTGAGCTAATCAATACAAATTTTAGTGGAGTTGTTTCCCAGAAGGAGTAACTTTATTGCAGCGTAAAATAATAACTCTCTTCCACATTCTCTGAATGATCACATCTCATGTACTGTTGGAACAGATTAATTTATTTAATGATGATAGGATATTTTATCCTTTCAGTATATAAAGCCATGGAAGCAGAAAGCTGGGGAGCGTTTGTGGAGTTTATTTGCAGAGAGAACTGAAACAGGCTCCCTTGGTTCATCTGCATTGCTGCTATCCCTGATTCTTTATTAACCTGTAGTTTTAGAGTCCCCACATTTTTGTCACAGAAAAAAGGATATTAGAAGGGGAAAAAATTATATGAATAAAGGAAAATAGCAGGACAAAAACAAGGCGATGCATTTTCCAAAAGGCTAAATGCTAAATTGCTATAAAAGTTGCCACTGAATCAAATGTGTTTAGATTCAAGTTTAGGCACTTTCCTCTTTGATCATGCTGTTTTCAATAAACTGAATTCATATCCTTAAAGAGCAAAGTTTGAGCCATGTTTCAGTATTCTCAGTATTCTGTGTTTCAGAATATTTACAGGTTCCTTCCTGGTTAAATGAAAAAGAACCACATATTACAAGAAACTGGAACTAATAACATGCTTGATGTTTCCTTTTTGTTGTTGTTTCTTAAAGATCCAAACTCCTGGCTTTCTGGACACTCACTCATCAGTGCAGCCAGGAACTCCTTTTCAAAACTGATGGACAATCTGAGCGTATTGATGGAGACAGTTCAAGGGAACCCTTGTGGGTGCAGAGCTTACCTGGAGAGGGACTCCCTGATACAGAGGCTGGCTTGTGGACTTCTCAGAGTAAATGCCCAGGCCCTGAAAGCTGGATTGTATGACAGACTGCCCAGCACAGTAAGCAGATTTACAGTCCTCCTTCACGGAAACAGAAGATTTACAGTAACAGTGAAGCTCCCTTGATAGCACCCTTTATTTTGCTGGTAATGAGTCCATGACAGTGAAGTAGCACTGTATGGACACTCAGAAGTTGATTTGTCACACATTAGGGTGTGAATAGGTATTTTCTTTTATTGAAAAATAATTTTTGGTGGAGGTTTAGTGTATCACAGTAAAAGACTTTTTTTTTTCCCAAGTTCTATCAGAACTGTATTAGCTTTATAAGTACAAATTTGCTTTTGTCTTGATGTGAATGTCCATGTTGCTTTTTATTAATGTTTTCTATATTCTCATGTTTACCAACCTTTCTTTCAGTAAAGATAACCTTATCTTTAACCAAAATGAAATGATATACTCTTTCTCTCATAATCTTTTACAGTAGACTTTAGGTGAAAATAGTACTTCCTTGTAAACAGAATTTGCAGTAACCCTTGGTAGGTGACAGGTTCAAACTTTTTCCCTTGGATATGTCTTTTATAGATGGAGGGAAAAATTATAGTTTTGTCTTAATTTTCTTGGGTCTTAAATGTGATTTGTTTTATTGCTAAAATAGCAGATTTTATAGCCATCAACTTGTTTTTGTTTGCTGACAGAGAAACATAGCAATCTTGCAGCAAGAAGTATTTGAATTATCACGAAGGCTTCATACAGCAGAGGTAGAGTCCCACTCACTGCACCTACAGCTTGCAGAATTCAAATGGACTTTCAGTGAGATGCAGAGGGATGCTGAAAAAGCCCACAGACTTCAAGAGCAATTAAATGCACTTCAACATGTAAGTATATCTGATCTGGAGACTCTTGCTCAAAAGAGATTCTCCTTTCTACACATTTTTTATTTGTGTTCTTTTGGAAAACAAGCATAAAATTGATTTACTTTTCACAGAATTTTCCAGAAAACTTGCCTTGTAAGTGTCACTAAACTAGAAGTCAGATGTATTGAGAAATACCCCTTCATCACTGGAGTTTCCTTTTGATTTGTAGAAGGAGGTATCATGTATAAGTTACAGTTTGGTCTTCAGCAATCCAGGTTCTCCCATTTGCTGGAAATGTTGATGTGATTTAGGTATCCTAAAAGAAAATTTCGCTTCAACAGAATAAAGTCAGCTGGAATGAGGGTATTCTATAAGAATGTTCATGAAATATAAATATAGCAGGTTAAACTCTGTATGGATGTTGATGAATTTTATAATAAATAAAACACTGATTTTGGTGGGCCTGTTTCCCTGAAGAAGTAACTTTATGGCAGGGGGCAAAAAAAGCCTTTTCCTACATTCTCAGTAGCACAAATGCACAAAATTCCCCTGAGTCTTTTGCTGTTGCTGCTTGACTTACTGAACCACTGTGGGTTCCCCAGCCTGAAGCCTAGTTGGTAGAACCTGTCAGTGTGTCCCAATCCAAACACTTCTAAGCAGAGAATATCTGCTACATGATGGAAGGATCCATTGTCCTTCCTGTTCCTAGCTAGTAAAATGGGATTTATTTTTTTTATTTTTTTACTCAAAAATATCTAATCATCTTCAGCTTTGTTCTTAACAGGTTTTATTCCCTTAGTGTTTTGGGACAGTTAGATGAAAATTGTCACATTTTAGATTGTAGTTGAAGTGCAGAAGATGATTTTCCTTAAAGAATTATTTCTTCTTTCTGGAACAGTTTTTTGAGGAGAAAAACAGCCCGCAAAGGTGTTTACAAGGATTAACAAGCTATCCATTAAAATTTTGTGCATTGATCTGTGTATTTTTCCTTCTAAATATTGAAGTGTTGCATCCTAGGGTGCAAATCTGAATAATGAATGTCAAGACTTTACATGAATGTTCTTTATAAAAAAACACAGTAATTAACTGGTCTGACATTTTATTGTTCAGTGATCTGTCTTCATGTTAAAAAATCTCAATATTAATCCAAAGCATGTGTTTATTTTAAAATTTGGTATGTCTACAAATGGAACACAGGAAGTCAGGTAGGGAAACTGCTGATATAGTTACAGAATGAGACACAACTTCTTTCTCTTTCCAGGAAATAATCACCCAAGACAATATACGTGACGAGCTGGATAAAGCTTTGCAGCGTGAGCGTGAGGCAAGATTGCTTTTACAAGAACACCAGCGACAGCTTCAGGAGTTAAGTAATAGACTAGAATTGCACACATGTGCAGACCCAGATAGAAGCCAAGACTCAAAGGTATCTCTGACAGTAAGATTATTCTTCTGGAACAGTCACCAGAATATTACCTTTTGTTAAATAAATCAAATAATGCAGTCTTTGTGTAAATAAAATAACAGGAGAAAATACACAGACACTGCTCAGTCTGCTGGACTTTTAGGCTACTGAGAAAACACTTCAATGACCTTTCTTTTTTTTTTAAGCTATGGATATTTTATTCTTAAAGATGTAAGAAAAAGTCTTCAATGGGAGTTCGTTTTGGGGTTTTTTTGCCTACAAGAATTTTGTTTTCTAGAACACATTACACAGTACATAGCAATATACTAAAATATACTAAAAACAGGGGGGCAGGAGGGGGGATTCAGAGTCAGTAATGCTTTTGCTGGGAAATTCATAAAACTTTAGTATGCAGTGGTCCAAATCTACTTCACAATCAATTTGTCTTCCACATTGGTCAGTAGCCAATGGCATAAAGTGAAGTTTATTTGTGCTGATGAGTAGCTCTGCTCTCTGACTGCTGACAGAGCCTCCGTGATGCAACAGAGGAGCTGAGGAGAAGAGACCAAGTTCTGAATCACCAGAAGAGTCTCCTGAAAGACATGGAGCAGGACCGGCAGCGGCTGCATGAGACTCTCCAGGAGACAGAACATGCCCTCCAACAGGCAGCAAAGTGAGCCCTGGGCCTGGAGAATGTCACTTAAAGTGAACAAAAATTTCAATTCCTAATTCCATGGGCAGGGTTTTAGACCTGGTTAGTGTAAGGTTAGAGGATAAAAGTACATCTATCTCTTTTTTAAAAAATTCAGGTATAGTCTTCTTAAAACAAAAGTGTTAGTTCAGAATACTAGGTCATACATTTTATACAGTTATGACATAATAGTGCTCCAAATTCTGGGTGCTGAAATAACTGGCAAACAAAATACCTGTGCTGTTTTACTGATCTGACAGCATCTCTTTGGCAGATCCTTAAAGTTGTGTTTATTTCAGAAATGATTGTATGTGTTTCCATGCCATCTTTTTATAGACAATTTATAGTAAATACGAAGCATCAGCTAGGGGGCAGGTCTTAGCTGCCAAAGGGACTGAATCCCATTTTGGACCTAGCTTTTCCTGTGGGACAAGATAGATCTTCCAGCTGATTTCAGGGAGTTTTGGATTTAGACCTAATCCCCACACCATTTACATCATAACCTGGAGTGGAAGGAAAGGCTCAGGCACTGGTCTTGAAAATATTAGTAGTTAAAAGGAGCCCCCTTGACTTGAAGAAGCTTATTACTAACTTATTCTTACAGCCATATGGTCAGATAAAAAATTAGATCTTTGCAGACTTTGTTTTCCAATACTTATCATAGTATGAAGTATGCATTATGAATATTGTTGTTCCATGGCTAGGATCTAAAAAAATTTCAGTTAATTAAAATTTCCCATTGTACCTGGGATCATTTGACCTCTGAAGAACAACATCTGAGAAGATTTAAGGGTTTTATGCTCCAGGGAAATAGTGCAATTCATATAGTCCTCAATGAAATGTTTAACAAGCTAAATAAAATGACAAATGTTATTTGGTATGATTTCATCAAAGCAGGTGTGACCTGCAGAAGGATTTGTTCTAAAAAGATAGCCCTTTTCATCCTGCTCTAATCTGTTTTGGTCATTTTAGTAAAGATCATTCCTTTTGGCCATACATATATCCAGAAAAGGTTATTTTAATGTGATATGTCTTTAAAACTGGCATTTTTTTCCTGTTGTCTCAGTTTTGGAAGACAGGTGTCTGCTAGGCAGGGCAGGAGCCTCCCTTGGAATGAAAATGTAGACCCCCTCCCTCCGAATTACTATAATTTTGAAATCAAGGGGCTCTCAGGCAGAGATATGGGGATAGGAAGAACAGTTCTTTACTAGTATGTATAACAAGGCAAACAAACAACAACAACTACAGCATTAACAACAAAATAGAACCATGATAGCATTCTTGGCTGAGACAGGATAGGATGGGGAGGCTTTGCTTCACAAACCCCCTCGGGCAGTCAGTCCTGGTGCTCCTGCAGGGCTCTGAAGAACACTTAGCTGGAACAGCAGGGATGAGCAGAGATCCTGGGCCGGTGTATCAGCAGCTCCACAGCAGTGGCTGGCGCTGCCATACATCCCGGCAGGACAGGGGGTGCGAGGCCACCGATGAAGAAGGGAGAAGGAGAAGAAGAAGCAGCAGCTCCATCTGGGAGATGGCGAATTCCCCTCTCCCTGTGGCAACAGCTCCAGGAAAAAAGTGTCCTCCTCTGAAGCTGAAGAAAACCTGCCAAACTGTCCCTGCCCTCCCCTTTTCCTGCTCCCTTCCCCCCCCTGGGCCCAGCCGAACTCTTTTCTCAAGCACCCCCCAAGTACCCGCAGCCAGGTTTTCCCTGAAACTAATAGGTAAAAATTCCACAGGTGAGCCAGAACTAAAAGAAGGTCACCTAACCCCCAACACCTGTACATAGCAGCTGAATAACAATAAAGAAATCTACCCTTCCCTTCATTATTTTAGCTACTCTTCACAAGAAATAGGGTTTTTCTCCTCCCTTTGGAACATATAAACAAAGCAGATGAAATAAACAGAATCTGTCAGTGTTTTCCAGTACAAGAATATAATACAATCCTGCAAGAGTCTTTTTACGACTGTATATCCAAGCCATGATAGTTGTTCATTGATAGACCTATAATTTCATCTATTTTAATTGCTTATCCTCAACGGAAGCACCTTTTGTATGGAAATGCACCAAATAGGGGCACATGAACTATTTTTAGGGTTTACATTAGAGATATGAATAAGAGAGAAAATAATAAGTTTGAATTATCTATAATCCTTTTACAAGATGTGACAGCCATGAAATAGCAGAAGATTAATTTCTACATTGGTAGAGCTTCAGTTCTATAAAGTTACTCCATTGTTCTTGTTTAATTTTTTGTTTTATTTTTCTTTTATAATAGAGACAAAGAGTTGATGATTAATCATATGAAAGCTGTTGATGCCACCCTGAATGCGGTAAGAATTTGAAGTGTTCCCTCTTTGTGTTTCCAAACATGCCAAAGCCTTAAAACTGCTTATTCTCAGGGGAGAAGTTGTTGCAAAGCATCTTCCTTTCCTCAGAGTTGAAGTTTCCCCCTTCAACTTCTTCCATCTTAAAAAACCACAGTGAAATAAAATGCAAGTTTGTAGTACACAAACAACTTGTTCTAAATGTAGAAGTTATGACAAAATTCTCTTTCCTTCCCTCACTGAGCACTATTTCTGGTTGCCAAGTGAAGACTAATGGAACACACAAAAAATTGGCAATTATTGTGGAGTTAACCCTCTACTGAAAAATGAGGTCACATACTTAGTGGCTGCAAAACACGTGGCTTTGTGTCTCCTACTTTAACCTCTGAAACATCATAAATAGGAAAAGACAGGAAGTCATAATTTGCGATCAGAAACTTCCATGGTATTTTTTATAGGATATTTTAAATTTAATAATAATCTCGAGTTTTTGTACCCTGGTATAGGACTATTTGAAGGTCCAACTGAGCTGTATATATTAACTATTTAGGAGAAACAACTATTTCCAACTATATCTCTAACGGCAGATGGGTTTATAACTGCTTTTAATCTAGAGCAACACAGAGCAAAAGAAGTATTTTCATTACCTTGGAGTATCAATTTCCCTTACTACACCTTTAATTCCTAGCAACACAGAAATCTCTATTTTAGTTTCTGCATTCACCAAAACTGTTGTTAATTTCATTTCAGATATCTTTTTCAAGTCTCTTTCCTTTAATGTTTATGGAAAGTGACAGAACCTAAACCATGTGTTTCACCTACAGCAAACTGTACTGGTAGAACATTTCCTTTGTGCCACCACCATCTTCATAATGATTTCTTTCAAACTTTGGAAGTGGATGTCATGCAGCAAGTGCTGTGTTTTTACAGTAATACACACATGCCTTATCCTTGGTCTTTCTCTTTTCAGGCCAGGGCAAGGTGCTTTTATTTTTTATTTTTTGTTAGCATCCTCTCCCAGAACTGCGAATTAGAGACTTACTTGCAATGAAAATTCAATCAGTTGTACTTTATTCATGAATTAGGTCCAGCAATCAATGCAAGTCCACTCAAGGAGCTCAAGGAGACCCAGTTCATGCCAGCTGGTGTGACTGAAGACAAATTACCAGTGATACTGGGGTTTTTTTTCCTTTTAGATCAGAGATCAGGCCGTGGCATCAGGTGCTGCAGCAGCTGCGCTACTCCCCAGCCTGAAGCTTGAGACCCTTTCAGAGGAAGCAATGAGGGGCAGGCCAGAGGCTACAGCATTCCAAGTAAGAGTCTAAAACCAATCCTGTTTAATTTTTTTAAATTTTCTTTCAATTTTTGCTTCTGAGATAGAACATGCAGACAGACTGCTCTGAGCATGTGGAGAGCAAAAAGCTTCAAAGCTATTGCAGTCAACAGCTGGAGGACAATTTCCATGTATACTCTTGCATATGGTATTTCAGAGATGATGGCACCTCTTAATTTTACAGCATTAAATAACTGATGGAAATACAAACATGGACAAAAGTATATATACCTGAAAGTTAATATCCCTCTATCCTCCTCTCTTTTCCCCTTAATATACACAAGACTAACACCCAAGAAAGGCAGATTCTAAGCTGGAATTTTCTCACTGTCGCCCTCTTGCATGCACACATGCATTTCAATGTGATAAAGATATAAATTATGTGTGCATTATCATATGTCCACACTAAAATATGGAAATATGTAATATGCAATGCCTTGAGATTCCCATGAAGCTTAATTAGCACAGATGAACTTTTCTGCCAAAGGGTAGAGTTTCAAATGTTTCTCCAGTACTGTGATGATACATTTTAGAGCTGCACAAAAGGTCCCACAGGTGGCATCTTTTCACAGGAGGAATTGTGGCAATCACCAGTTATGAAATCCTACTTTTTCTAATTTGCTAGTGGATGCTTGGATGCTTCCTTTTTTTTTTTTTT